AGTCCTGCTCTACCCCAGACTCTCCCATGAAGATCATGGGTTCCTTCTGCAATGGATATGCCAAAGGTGGTGGAGAACCCAAATGTGGTTTCGAAGGCTCTGTTCATATACCCAGTGCTCTTCCAACACCTCATGTATGTTGCATAGCTTTCCTCTGGCTTAGGACTGCTCCTGCTGACAGAGCTGAACAGTTGACAGGGGACCACTCTTTGGACTGTGGTGGTCATGAAGGTAAACTGCTGCTGGGACCTTGAAGATAAACTGCAACAGGATCATCCATCCCACCTGAGCTCCGCTGCACTGCAGTGCTTGGAGCTATCCAGCTTGGATATCTGGCATAGATTACCATGGTGCCCCTGGTGACCAACCACACTTCACGGACAAGTCCTTACACACAGGGTGCACCATCCTAGGAGCACGCTCTGGCTATGTTGCAGTTCCTACCTGGTGACACTCTGCAGGATCTTCTGTTCATCCTGATCGAGGCATACAGCAAAGGAGGACTGGACACCAATAATCTGGACCTTGTCTACTTTTATCTGGGACACGCTGATCTGCTGATGGAGAAAGAGTCTGGGTGAGGGAGCTGCCAGGCTCAGAGGACTTCCCTGTGCAGGGAAGGGGAGCAGGGGAGCTGGTGGCCAACAGCAATTGGATCCCCCAAGCAACTACTCTTTCCTGCCCTGCTTCCCTCCCAGCAGAGTCAGGCTGCCCTCCTGTTACCAAACACAAAAGCACCATGATTTGAATTACCTGATTGAAGCTTTTTTTGGATTTGGAGTTTTGCCTTTTGACCACCTCTGTCATGGTTAAGTTGAGACACTCTGTCTTTGAGGCTGCAAAAAAAGGAAAACCATTATCACTTGAGGCTTCTGGGAACTCAGGTGGTCCCTCCAGCCCTTACAGTGTTCCAGAGCCAATAGCCCTCACTAGGACTCCACTGTTGGAGGACATGCCGGAGAGTTTTGGCTTTCCTTCCCTTGTGCTAACCCACACGGAAAGAAAGCAATCAGAGACACAGGTAAACGTCTTTTTTTTTTTCCCCAACCACTTTTCAAACGTAGCAGAAAAGGACATTTAACTCTCTTAGGACCTAAACAGGAGGACAAAGTTGCCCCATCATCATGAGGAAATTTTAGTTCTCCAAGCATGGCCTTTCTTGCAGTCCACCCAGAGATTCTTTTTGATGTGTGGAATCACAGTGACATCCTGTGGCCAAACTGCTGAATAGGAGAAGCAACAGAGACAATCAGGTGGACCAGGTTTCTCTTGGAAGAAAAGAGCTTCATGAAGAAGTTTCTCCCCTGTGTGGAGCTGAGGACACCCCTGAAGCAACCCCACAGGGCTGTTGGCACAGGTGAAGCTCTTGAGCTAGCTCAGAAAAATCCAACTCGAGTGTAGAGGTAGCATGGAATTAACTCCTGCTGTTTTTTTTTTTCCAGGATTGTCTGCATGGCTTCATGGATGGGGCAGCAACAGGAGGGACAGAGGTTTAGGTTGAGCTGCGCGGGACATGTAGGAGACATCTCCTATTTGGTAGAACACCCATTTGTCCCAACTACTCTGGTCACAAACCACACCTGCCAGACACAAAGCACACAAGGAAAGAGGAACTGAAAAACCTCTCAGTTTATTCAGAACTGGGTGTCTGGTTGCCAAAACAGCATCTCTCCAGCAACAATGACCAGACATTGCTTTTAAATACACACAGATTAAAGGTCTTGCTGCTTTTAAAATGCTCAAAACCTCATTAATACCCCATCAGAAACCTGAGTAGAAGAAAAATTATGAAGCAAAGCCATGTGGCAAGCAGCTATCTCTGAGCTGAAGAAGGGATGTCCTTCATCTCTGAAGCGGTTTTAAGGACAGCCAAGGACTACAGAATGCCCCAGGGAACACCAGGCACCTCCCATCAATCTTCTACATTCACACATCCTTCACTTGCTCCAGCTACGAGATCCACACCGTCCTCTCACTCCACCAGTCCCTTCCATTATCCACTATGTAGAGCCACAAAGACCACCTCTACCCACCTAGTTCTTCATACTTCTTGCAGGCTTTGCTAAGGTTGACAGATGTGCAGACCTTCTCAACATCGTTCCAGTGACTTCTTCCACTGACAGCTGTCTGCAAGGACCAACCAGAATGCATGAGATAGAACCAGAATCCTTTAGACTGGAAAAGACCATTAAGATCATTGAGTCCAACCATTAATTCAGCAATGTTAGGTCCCCACTGACCCATGTCCCTCAGCACCACAGCTCCACAGCTTGGAAATCCCTCCAGGGATGGGGACTCCACCACTGCCCTGGGCAGCCTGGCACAGGCTCTGGCCACCCTGTTGTGGAGAACATTTTTCAACCTAAAAACCTCTCCTGGCACAACTTGAGGCCGTTTCCTCTTGTCCTGTCCCTTCTTCCTTAGGAGCAGAGCCCAGTCCCCACCTGGCTCCAGCCTCCTGTCAGGGAGCTGTGGAGAGCCAGAAGGTCTCCCCTGAGCCTCCTTTGCTCCAGGCTCAGCACCCCCAGGTCCTTCAGCTGCTCCTCCCCACACTCAGGCTCTAGACCCTTCCCCAGCAGCTTCGTTGCCCTTCTCTGGCCACACTCCAGCCCCTCAAGGTGCTTCTTGGAGTGAGGGGCCCAAAAATGAACCTGGGATTTGAGGTGTGGCCTCACCAGTGCTGAGTACAGGTGAAACAATCCCTGTCCTGATCCTGCTGGCCACAGTAGCTGTTCCAGGCCAGGACCCTGGTGGCCTTCTTGGCCACCTGGACACACACTGTGTCACCTTCAGCTGACTGTTGACCAACCCCCCAGGCCCTTTTCCCTTGGATGGTTCCCAGCCACTCTTCCCCAAGGCTGGAGCATTGCAGGGGGTTGCTGTGACCAAAGGACAGATGCCACACTCCAGGCTGATGTTACCCTACCTCCCACCCATAACCACCTGTCTGTGCTAGCTCAGATTTGGATTTACCTGGAGCTGCACAAAGCTAGAGCAAGCATTCCAATTCATTTAAACTTGGATTTACAAAAATTTGCCCAGTCTTAACACTAAGTAACTACAGTGGAATCAACAAAACAGGAGGACTACTGTGACCAGCAGATCACTCCCTGGAAGGGAAGTCCACCAGTGTAAAGTGGCACCGAGCATACATCCAGTCTGTAGAGACTGGCTGCATATTCCCCTTTTTACTGGGCTAAACAGAAGTGGAAAGACACCCCCAAAAATTGCTGATAAATAGACAAGTAGCTTGAGTTTGTCTCATCTTGGAGTTCTTGGATTTGGGCTCCTCCAGCAGATGGTCAGCACTGTCCTCTCTCAACCCCAGCTAAGAGACACGTTGCCCAGCCCTGAAGTGGTTTTCTGCCCCAGCTGTCTTTGTGCAAGTCCCACGGGCTCACCTTGCTGTAGGCAATCTGTAGTGTTAGTGGGATTGCTTCTCTGTCTCCATCTATGCCCAGCCTTTTGCTGCCTGGACCTGCACGAAACAAGGAGCAAATGTCACATGGAGGCTTTTTATCCCCATTCTTCAGCTGGCTACAGATACAGCAACACACTCAGTACCTACAGAAAGGAGGGTGGGGAAAATGGTTTGCTGAACATAGCTGTGGAGCAAAAAGGCAAAAAAAGAAAAGGTGGCTTAAAAGCTGCCAGAAAGCAATTAATCCAGTGCAAAAATGTCAACACAAAGCACAACAAGCAGCTCTGCAAAGCTGAAAGCAGCTCTGGCTAAGCTGGTGCAGAGGGTCAGTGCTCCAGGGAGAACACAAAGCAATAAAAGGCTGCATTACAAACCCAGCTCCTGTTTTTCCAGGCATGTTTCTACCCACATTAAATTAGCCTTGAAATACTGTGCCAAACACTCACTAACTTGGTGGCTTTTTCCCTGGATAATTTTTTGCAGATGTTAAGTGGTGAGCTGCCAGACAACCCAAGGAAAAGAAAAAATATCAAAGTTAGGATTGGTGGTTTCACGAGTTATTGGGAAGATGTCTTGGCCAAGCCTGGGTTTTGGGGGAGTGGGGTGGTGACACTTCATAAGAAGGATATTTTTTGAGGTCTATTTAGAAGGACAAGGCAAGATCACGGAAAAGCAGTTGGTTAAAAAAATTAAGCAACATGTTCAATGCAGTATTATTGGCTGGCCATGAGATGTCTCTGTGAGCTGCATGGTATCAGACAGCACAAAGTCCTTGGTACCCGGGAGGGAGCTGGAGATCAGATTCTGCCCTTGCTGCTTCTCTCTAAAGATTTTATAAATTCACAATGTAAATGCTGATGGATCTCCCTTGCAGGAAGGCTGCAAGCATGAAAAAACCATGCTTTGCCCAGTAAACTAAAATGAAAGGAAGGATTTTGTAAAAGACACTCCTAGAGAAAGCACAAACAACAGAAAGCAGCAAAAAGAGAAGATGAAGAGCTGCATTTGGCCAGGTGCTGATGAGAGGAAGGAAATGGGCTTGGAGCAGTTTTACTGCAAATATATTTCAGAGTTAACAGCAGTAAAAACAACAAAGCATTACCAAGGCTTCGCTCCTGAAGAGGAATGCAAGAACTGGATCAATGGGATGATGTCAACAGGGCCAAGTGTCAGGTCCTGCACTTGGGTCACAACAGCCCCGTGCAATGCTCCAGCCTTGGGGAGGAGTGGCTGGGAACTGTCCAAGGGAAAAGGGCCTGGAGGTGTTGGCCAACAGCTGGCTAAAGATGAGCCAGAGTGTGTCCAGGTGGCCAACAAGGCCACCAGCATCCTGGCCTGGATCAGCTACTGTGGCCAAAAGGACTAGGGCAGAGACCATTCCCCTGGACTTGGTACTAGGAAGGCCACAGCTCGAATCCTGGGGTCTGTCTTGGGTCCCTCACTTCAAGAAGGACCTTGAGGGGCTGGAGTGTGGCCAGAGAAGGGCAACGAACTTGCTGGGGAAGGGTCTAGAGCCCAAGTGTGGGGACGAGCAGTTAAGGGACCTGGAGGTGCTGAGCCTGGAGCAAAGGAGGCTCAGGGGAGACCTTCTGGCTCTCCACAGCTCCCTGACAGGAGGCTGGAGCCAGGTGGGGACTTGGCTCTTCTCCTAAGGAAGAAGTGACAGGACAAGAGGAAACGGCCTCAAGTTGTGCCAGGAGAGGTTTAGGTTGAATATTAGGAAAAATATTTTGCTTGTCCAGGCCTGTGCCAGGCTGCCCAGGGCAGTGGTGGAGTCCCCATCCCTGGAAGCGTTTCCAAGCCATGGAGCTGTGGTGCTGAGGGACACGGGTCAGTGGAGACCTGGCAGAGCTGGGGAATGGTTGGACTCAATTGTAAAGGTCTCTTCCAACCAAAATGATTGACTGTGATGCTTCACTTCCAAATCTGTGAAAAAATGTCTAGATCTTTGCTTATGATGCAGCCTGGGCCCAGACACCTCTTGCAGCCCACAATCCCTCTAGCCCCTCTTTCCATGCGTCTCCCAGCCCTCTGGTTTGCAGACCTCCATCCCAGGGCTGTGGGTACAGGAGCAGCTACAGACCTGATGCCTTGATGGCTCGTGTGGCTGCCGAGTGGCCCAGCTCCAGGGAATGGATGAAGACTTCGGTCATCTTTTCTCCTCCAATGAAGGTAAGCTGCCAGGGGAGAAGACAGAAGACATGGTGGTGAGGAGACCCAGCTCATGCCATGCAACACTCACCCCTCTCACGCCTTTCTACAGGAAACTGGCCAGTTTGGAAAAATCCTTTCTAATTTCCAAAGCACACATTTCAATATCTGCCTTGGGTGACACTTGCCTTTATCTGGACTGCAGACTGGTTTAACAGACCACCAGGAATTAAAACAACCCAAAACCCTGATTTTCATTTAAACTCCCCAACCCACTGGAAAGAAAGCCCACAATAAGCCTGACTCCAGGGTCAGGGGGCATGGCATTGGGAGACACCAACCCCACAATCAGCGGCCTCTCTGCTCTCCACAGCCCCACTGCAGCACTTTGCAGTCACTGCAGCCACGTCTCCAACCAACCTTCCCCACCACGTCTGCCCCATGCACACGGCGGGACGTGGAAAATAGGCTTCATGGAGAGGCTTCGTTTGAGAAATGGAGCACTGCAGGAGCTCCTGGAGGGGTGAATAACCTGCCAGCACTGACAGGAGTTTATTTGTGTCATGGGGAAACATATTTGGACAGAAAACTACTCGTGTGACTTAAGGACTGTCTGGGCAGGACCTCCATGCTCTCCGTCCCCGAGCCAAGAGCATCAGCCACAGCACCATGGGCCCAGGGCACTAAGAGGAGACAGACCTCTGCCTCTCCAGCACGTGCTGCCTGTGCCACCCCCTCATTGCTTCACAGGCAGGTCCCGAGTTGGTGGCACAGATAGAAGACCTCCCTTTCCCCCTTGCCAAGACAGGGCTGAGCCCCTTTGCTTACCTCTGCCTGGTAGAGCTGCAGCAGGACAGGGCGTGTGGCGAAGCGGCAGTAGTAGAGGATCATGTCTGCCAGGATGGGCAACTGCTCCTGGGAGTCCTCCTGGGGCTCTGCCTCTGGCTTGGCAGACTGGGGTGAGAGGATAAGTCACAAGGAGTCTAAGGGGTACATCATACCCACTGCCCAATGCCAAGAACTTCCCATGCCACCCCACTGGAGACAGAAACTCTCCTCCTGACCACCAGGAACCTCCCACCACCAGCCTATCCCCATGTAGCACATCCTCCTGTGTTGGATCATGGTAGCCCAGTGCTAGGGAGAAGCTCTCTGCTCAGCTCCCCTGTACTTCAGGGATGGGGGACACCAAGCCCTACCAGCTGGCATGCACCCACCTGACACAGGACATCCATGGGCAGGTTCATCAGCCTGAGAACGTTGCGCTCGTACCATGGGTCTAACATGCCAATGTAGTGGGAGATGTCGTTGGTGCTGCTCTCCATCCCAGCCAGGGTAGGATCCTGAAACCAAACACACTGGGGTCACTCCAGGCTCCTCAACCCATGTGTGGAGGTGGCGGAAGAGAAACCAATGCTCCTCTCAGCTTGCCGGGCTGGCCTCCTCCCACAGCCCACCGCTCTCAGGTCCAAGCAGAGCGCCAGTGGCACTGTGGCCACAGGACACCTACCGCCTGTGCCGCGGCCCGGAGCTGTGGGTCCCCCGGGGACGGGGAGGGATGCATCAGCGGGGTCGATGGAGCCAAGCAGCTCCTCTTCACGGGGACGTAGAAAAACTGCAGCTTGAAGTACCTTGTCAGTGAGGGGCAGGCGCTCTCCTTGAGCCTAGGAGAAGGCAGGTAGGGGGGTGGGTGAGCAAAGATCTCTGGCATGTCCTGGCACCTGTGGCTGGTTCCCCGGCACCGCCTGGCTCACCTGAGGTTGCTGTAGGCTCGGGCCACTTTCCCCGAGATGCGGTCGGAGCCAAAGACCACGACGCGCAGTGTGGAGCCCTTGGCGTCCTCGTCGTAGCTGAGGAAGGGCCGGCGGAGGAGGCCGAAGTGCCGCG